GATCTTACAAATTTAATAAAACACATTGCATTAAAACCATCTCCAAGTGCCCAAAGTTCTTTGAACTTGAGTCCCAATGAACAATGAGTGTTTCAGCTCAAAAGTTGTGGGTTCAAATCAATGATATGAAAGGAAGCTGTGTAGCTGCGCCGTTTTTCCAAATCAAGAACAACTCAATAGTTGTCAAAAGTTAGTGGAATACAGTAAACTCTCAATTTACACGGCTTCAGCAGCAATTCGAAGTTTCCTGGTAGTACAACAAGTACTTATTATGAAGACCGTACGGAGGGAAACGAAAAAACCAAAACAAAACAAAAGATGGGTTGTTGTTAGTGTTGTTTCTTCTTGGAAAGCCTGCAAACCCTGCACTTTTTAAGTTCCCAATCGCCAACCATCGAGTCATGAAAAAGGGTTTCGACTTGCAATTTAGTGGTCTCAGTTTCGAACTTCGTGACACTTTGATAGTGTGTGTGAGAAAACTCCATCTCTTTGTGGCTTATAGTTTGGACTATCACTTGAATTCAAAATTTTAAAAAAAATTCCTACTAGCTAGATTTGTTTGCTTACATTTGGATTGGGCCTACAGAAGGCCCATATAACGAGTGTTGAACTAGCCCAGTCTAGCCCAACATCCTGAGAAAAATGCGGAGCCAACGGATCTATTTGGCGGGAAGCAACAGGCCACCAAGTGCTTGTTTCTTCCTCTTTTCTGTGAAAACTGTCATTCTCAAAATCTCATTGCCAAATTTGTTTGGGTCTCTGCAACGACTTCCTCCAAAAACCTTCAAATCCAATGCACCCAGAAGCTGAGAAATTTTAAATAAATAATAAATAAAAAAAACCCTAATGTTATGGTGTGGGTTCTAAATAGGTAATGCTCTTTGCCACCTCTCTTCTTTCCATAAGTTTTGTGGGGATTTGATAGATTTCCCCATTCCATTAGTTAGGCATGTTGGGGATGTTTTGATTAACTAGTTGATTAATTAATTGTTCATGTAAATGAAACATCTGGGAGCCCTAATCATCTAGTCAGTATGATGCAGTTTTGTCAAGAAGCATGCCTATAGAACCATCTATTTTCCTTTTCTTTTTTTTTTCTTTTTTTTTGGTGTGAAATAAATGCAAACAGACATTTCAAACGGAAAATAGGGGCCAAGGGAAGACTAAGACCATGCCAGTCAAGTTGAGGAAACATTTGGAACCACACAACTTTTCATTGTCATAATAATATCTCAATTATGAAACAAGAAATGCAACTCAAATATCAAACATAGTCGACTGAGAGCACCATGAAAGGAGTTCAGAAGCCTCCTCCTTTTCTTCTTCTCCTCCATATTTCCTTGCTTTTCTTGCTTCCATTGAACGCCGCCTCATCACCGAGAACACAGGCGGCAGCTCTCGTAAGCTGGAAGAACGACTTCGCTTCTTCACCACCTTCTTTCAATTCTTGGTCCCTCACAAACCTCAACAACCTTTGCAATTGGACTGCCATTGTCTGTGACCACAACACCAAAACAATTTCCCAAGTTGACCTCTCCAACTTCAACATCACTGCAACACTAACCCATTTCCACTTCACCCCATTTCTCAATCTCACCCAATTCAACCTCAATGGCAACAATTTCACAGGGCCTATACCATCTGCCATTGACAACCTCTCCAAGCTCACAACTTTGGACTTGGGCAACAACTTATTCAATCAAGAAATACCTGCGCAGTTAGGCATGTTGACTGAGCTTCAGTATTTTAGTTTCTTCAACAACAATCTCACTGGTGTAATTCCCTATCAGCTGAGCAGTCTCCAAAAGGTAAAGTTTTTTATTCTTGGAGCAAACTACTTAGAAACTCCTGACTGGTCTGAATTTTCAGGCATGCCTTCGTTGACTTACCTTGATCTTTCTGGCAACCATTTCTCTTTAGAATTCCCAAAATTTATATCTGAATGCCGAAACTTGACGTTCCTTGACTTGTCTGGAAATTTCTTGACTGGCCAAATACCAGAACATGTATTTATCAATCTGGGCAAACTTGAATATCTCAATCTCACCATTAACCAATTCCAAGGACCACTGCCATCAAACTTTCCCAAGCTTAAACACCTTCATTTAGCACGAAACAACTTCGGTGGTGCTATTCCTGAAGATATTGGCAAATTGACTCGGCTTGAGGTTCTTGATTTGTCAAATAACAATTTGACAGGAGAAATACCACCTGAGCTTGGCACATTTGACAAATTCACAGGCGTGGCTTCCTTAGCTTATTTTTACCACTTGGATCTCAGCAGCAATTCACTCTCGGGAGCAATACCTTCAAGCTTGGGAAAGCTCACAAGCTTAAAGGTTTTCAATGTCTCACACAACCATATATCAGGCGAAATTCCATCAGCATTTTTCAAAATTCTTAGTGTGGGAGCAATTTTTTACCCACAAGAATATTCGTCTAAGATTCCGTCTTCCTCTTCGCTTCTCTTTCTCCTTGCAAAACAATACGGAGTAAAAAACCACACTCGGGGGTGTTAGCTAAAGGTCCTCTAATGCCTAAGTTAGGTCGAGTGTTTGTAGGAAAACAATATCTAACAATAGAATGCAGATTTATCTAGGGTGACAACCGGGTGGCCAGAGCCTTGTATGTGTGAGAGAAAAAGTATGTCGGCTAGGGTTTGTGAGAGAGAACTTTTGTAGAGTTTCAGACAGAAGTTTAGACATATATTCTTGTGGGACGAATATAATGGGCTCGAGTTGAGTCGAGTTGGGCTTCAAGAAGGAGAGTGAAAATAACGAGCCTGGCTAGACTGGGCTTTTCAGAAAATTCAAAGCCAGGCTCGGCCCATGGTCTCCCAAGAAAGCCCATCAGGCAAGGCCCTGCCGAAATGGGCGTACTTTATTTTGTCTTTTTTTTTTTGTGTCAATTTTTAATTTTTTTTCTATGTTTTGCTGTGTTTCTATGTTTCCCTTTTTTTCATAGTTCTTTTTTTACATTTGTCTATATGTTTATAACTTCCATAGTTTTATTTGTTCATAACTTCATAGTTTTCTTTTTTCTTTTTCCATAAATATGAAGATATAATTATACAACTGCCATATTAACAAAATCATGTTTTATCCCCTAATTCATTTTTTTTAGTTCTTACAATGATAATAGATAATGATTTTCTCCATCTTTTATTTAACTTGGGTTTTTATTTATTATATTTCTTTATATGTATGTGGGCCCGCGGGTTGGGCTTTATAGCTAGGTTGGGCTTTCTTGCGCTTAAACAAGCTGGGCTTTAGACACCCAAGCTCAAGACCAGCCCACTCAACAATAGGCCGGGTTGAGATTTTTCTCGATGGGCAAAGCGGGCCCCGTCGGCCCATAGGCTCACGGGCCTAATGCAGGTGCCAATGAAGGTGGCTTAGAGGAGAATCAACCTTTGAATGTATAAGAGGAAGATATAACTAGTTTTTCCTGATGGTTACTCCTTTGACTTGTAATTCATGCGGTGCAAAATTTGATATATAATTCACCGAGTGACTAGTTCACTACTGTTGGAAGTTTGAATGAAATTCAAGAACTTTTGTCCCACATTGGTAGAAAGAAGAAAAAGTGAGGTCTTTATAAGTGTGGTAGTCCCACCACACTTAGTAAATGGAAGTTGGGTCAAGTAGAAGCCAATTGGGCTTTAAATTCGGTATGAGCCTTAAGCCTTGGGGCACTTGGGCACGTTAGATTTAAATTAATTTTTTAATTTTGAATTAATAATTTTTTTTTTATTAATTCGGATTAGTTTAATTAACTATTTTTTAACAGTTGTGTCTCTTCTGATATGGTTTCAGAAGTCTATTTAAATCAG